CAAAAAAAAAAAAAAAAAAAAGAAAGCTAACAGAGTGCTCAGCACATAGTATAATTCCCTTCTTCTGTTTCACAAATCTATCTAGACATGACATCTTTAATCCACAGTAAACTGTGATATATATCAGTGTAGGTTTTTTGGATTTTTTTTTGTTGTTTTGTTTTGTTTTTTGCAGTTGCAGTATGGGGGACTGAGCCCAGGTCCTTTGTACTAAGTTACATCCCAATCCGATCCATCCATCCATCCATCTAGCCAGCCAGCCATCCACCTAGCCAGCCAGCCAACCATGCATCCATCTATCTTTTAAAATTTTGAGGCCAGGGATTTAGTTCAGTGGCACAGTACCTGCCTGGCAAGTGTGAGGTCTTCAGTTCAATTCCCTGATTCCCTGTAAACCTTCCAAAAAAAAAAAAAAAGAAGAGAAAAAGAAAAAGAGAGACAGGGTCTCACTAAATTGCTACTATGCTCAAGCTGGGTGCAAACTTGGGATCTTCCTGTGCTGGCCTCTCAGGATGCTGAAATTAAAGGTGTGCACCACCATTTCTAAATCCAGGTTAGTATTTTAATAACGACTATTTTAATAGGACTTTCAGAGACTCCTGAGACTTTATCAGATATGAAAAGCATATCCATGCATAGATGAGCACTCTTCCTTGGTAGAGACTTTTCCTTCCAAGATGTTTCTCAGAGTATTTGCTGACATACATTGGAAAGAGTCAAAAACTAATAAAGTGCTTCCCTAAAGAAGATAAATCACACTTCCAGAGGGCAAGAGTTCTGCTTCTGGCTACAGTAAAAGACCAAAAAAAAAAACAAAAAAAAAACACAAAAAACAAAAAACAAAAAAAACCCTGGATCTTAAAATAAAAAATCAGAAGAAAAAATGAGAGAAATGAGGCAGAGAAAAAGCCTGTTTTACCTGTTTTACATCTCTAGTCCTGACATTCATTAGTATTTCCGTGGTAACTCAAAAGCCATTAATTTCTTGCAACCCATCCTAATCCCTTTGTAAAAGAGAATAATGGATGCTTATGCTCTCAGCCATCTTTCTCTCTGACAATGCTGCAAGTGCTGTTAAAAACCTTTGCCACTGCCTCTCTCCTTCTCATTTCCAAGGGGCCAGTGATGGTTTCTCCTTCTCCATAATGAGGCTTATGGCCTTCTCTGGTCTCTCCTGTGACCCAGCAGCTCAGCTATGATTTCTTGAGTAAAAGAAAAACCACCTCCCTTGCTTTTAGAAATTTTGTCATCTCTTCCTACTTCTATGAAAGCTTTTTTACAACTACCATGAATTGTAAGTCTTAATTTATTTTTTAGCACTGGGGATTGAACCCAGAACTTCAGCACTAAGTACTAACTTACTTCCACAGTCTACTTATTTACTTATTTAAATTTTGAGATGTTGAGCTGGGGAGATGGCTCAGTGGAATAAGCACTTCCCTAGCAAGCACAAGGGCCTGAGTTCAATCCTCGGTCCACCAATAAATAAATAAATAAATAAATAAATAAATAAATAAATTTTGAGATGTGATCTGACTAAGTCACTGTTATGGCTTGTGTCTAGATGTTCCTCCTCCCCCAAGGCCTCATGTAGTCATAGCTGGGACTTTTTCAGAGGGGACTGGATCTACAGTGTGAGATTGATTCAATGTGCAATGCTAGGATTAAGGGTGCTAGGATCAAGGGTGAGAGAGTTTCGTCCTAAAAGCAGGTAGCCTGGGTACAGTAAGGGTCAGAAAGAGGCTTGCTTATAGTTTGTTGCTTTCTTACTTGCTTTCTTTGCTACCTTTTGCCCACTATGACCTGTTTCTCTTCTGCAAGCCTGTCTGTCCTGCCACCTTGCATTGAAGTTGGCCAAGTTGGGACTCAAAACTCTACGAACTGTGAACTGAAATAAATCTTTCCTCTCTTAACTTTGGATGTTGGGTATTTTGTGTCAGCAATGAGAAAATGTAACTAAGTCATCAAATTGCCCAAGTTGGGTTAATACTTGTAATCTTGTGCCTCAGCACCCCAGAGTGCTTGGATTACAGGTATGTACTACCATGTCCAGCTAGATGCCTGTCTTTTAATTAAGCCCCAACTCTAACAACAAACCTGACCAAAACCTCACTTGGAGGTGAAACTATAGCTCAGTGAAAAAGCACTTGCCTAGCATGCTAGAGGTCCTGAAATGGATTTGATCTTCAGTATGGCAAAAAACAATAACAAAAACAGGCCACTTCTTTCTGACTGCATAAACTAGATTGTGAGTGGTAGCTTGGATGATGGGAGTGAAATGTTCTGCTAAAGAATCTCCAAAGTAAGAAGGCTAAACGATACACTGGTTTCAACATTCTTTTCCAATCAGTAAGCCTTATCTCTTATCTCTGTCCTCAACCTCAGCTTCAGTGCACTATAGGTGGGGTGTTGACCAAGAGAGCAAAGAAAGCATGCTAATTATATGAAGTGGTTATTCTTAGAGTATACAACTTGTAGTGGAAGAAGAAAGCAAAGGTGTTCTAGAAATTATACTCTGAGGTGGCTATCATGGAGAGAGGGGTTATATCAAACATTCTTAATATTTTATGTGTGAAGTAATTACAAGATGGCTGAAGAACTATCATTTCTCTTGAAACTACAGCAACTAGGGCCACCCAGGTAGCTCAGCAGACTAAAGCACCTGCTTAGGCAGAGCGCAGGGACTGGGGTTCAATCCCTGGCACCATAAACTGTGGGGCCTCACCCCCAGGGTGCACAGAGACAGCGATTGAGACTGGGTATGGTGATGCTTTCCTGTAATCCCAGCACTTGGGAGGCTGAAAATAAGATCACTACAAATCCAATCTATGTAGTGAGACCCTGTAGACTTTGCACTAAATACATAAGAAAGAAGGAAAGAAAGAGTAGCAACTGTTACTTTCTATTGGATCTGAAGTTTATTTTTCCCAAGACCATATCATTTAAATTCATTTAATAACTGCACACATATCCTTGTACAGTGTTCAACTTTACAAATGAATCAGACAGGGGCTGGAGAGATGGCTCAGTGGTCTAAAGCACCTACTTGAAACAAGCTTGGCAAAGCACAGGGACCGCG